TAGAAGGAGAAAACATCAAGACCTACGACCTCATTGAAGGCTGCAGTCCTCAGGATTTGTGGACCTGGAATGTGGGCTACCAGAAGAGAGAGGAGCAGATGGATCAGGAGTTTATCTCCGCCTCCCTGCCCAAATATGGTGTGTAGTTAGCGGGCGGAACTATCTTTCTCCCAGACATTTGCATTCCTAATCTAGGCGTGTCCAAATTTTGCAGAAAACGACGGAGAACTTACGCTCTATAATATACCTCAACAGCTGGAAAAGACGTTTACTGCTGAGATTGTGTTTGGGAATCGGAACATCTATCCTGAACCAAAGAAGGAGCCTAACCGTTTGCAGTGAGAAATCCATAACACATGATAGCTTTTATTATATCTTTGCTAGTCATACTTAGTGACCAATTACCAATAATATACTTCTTCCTTCCATTAATTCTAGGTACTATTTTCGGCCTAGTGAAATAGGTGCCATTATAGTTGCTTTTGTAGAGACCTTTCGTTTGAATCCCGATTTCTGGACGGGATCTACTATGGATGGGATCCTAAAGCGCGGAGTGAAGTTGACCAAAAAGAGCGCCGACCTAAACTACAAGTCAGAAATGAATGATTTCGACATCATCCAGCAGGTGGCGGAACGAGATGCCGCCGTTGAGATTAAGATACACTTTTCAGGACTTTTGAAAAACGAACCGAATATGTACAAGGCGCTTTCTCTATTCTTCTCCAAATACAATGCCTGCATCTTTACCTCCCGGGATCTGTTCCTGCTGATCTGGAAGCGATGTTTGAACTCGTACTACATCTTCGATCCCAATGGACGGGATGAGAACTGCGAACGAAATTTCGAGGAGGGGAAGTGCTCACTGATGGCCACCCGTTACACGGAGCACTTAGTCCATTTGATTACCAAGTTCAGCGATCTGCAGCCGCAGGATGAATTTAACATCTTTGAGATATCACTGACTCAGTATGGAAAACTCAAGGAGCCACCTATTGATTCGGCGGAGAACGAGGAGTACCACAAACTTTGGGCGCCAGTCAATGAGAACTTTGCGGTAAAGACTGCGGCTACAGGTGGTATTCACCAACCGATCTCCGGTAATGAGAAGAATGCATCGCTGGTTGTGTCATTGATAGCGCTGATTTACTCGGAATTTGAGCTGGCCAAGCTTTGGAAACCGGGTACTGTGGATGACATCATAAGGTATGGTGTGGCATACTACAAAACCCTTCGGAAGAAGTTCCGTCTGGATGGAAAACGCTGGAAGAACAAGAAGCCCCATTTAAATGTGGTCGATTTGCCAGAAATGTTCCTCATGGGTGCATTCAAGGCCACCGTTCGAAAGCATCCATTCATGATCAATGGTCATGTGGCGGATTGCAGGAACTATTTGGAATCCCAGCTAACGATGGCACTGCACCAGTTGTTCAACATGCCCCAGTGGCCATCTGCCCTGCTTCAGATCGATAATTCAGTGATGGCTGTTTGGCGAGACAGGGAGTTCTTCTATGTCTTTGATCCCTTCCGGCGGAATCGAACTGGTCTGGTAGTGGATCCAGATGACTATAGCATCAAGGGATTGGCCGTGCTGCAATTGCACGCCACCTTCGATTCCTTTGTCCGTGTGATCTACATGAATGCCCTGAAGATGCGAAGGGGTGGTAAGTTCTTTATCCATGGCATTCGAACTGGCTGCATCCGCCCGCTGCAGGTGATGACCCCGCAGACGAACAGGTTCCCGGGATTGCAAATGGGCCTGCCCACATTCACGGATGAACCTCCAATTCCGGAGCTAAAGCAGAAAAAGAGTATTGAGAGTATACCGGAGGAGGATCGCTTCCCCACAGTTGATGATAAGGAAATGGTGGAGGAGCTGATTAATATGATAATCAATAATATTATTAAGGAACTGCCAGAACCACAACCCAAGAGACCACGTCTATATAAGCCTGCGCAAAAGGTCCTCCTGCGTACGGATCAGGAAAATCTCAAGGCTCTGCGTCTAAAGATTAAGCGGGGCTATGAGCTTGGGCAAGAGGAGGAGGAGGATCTGAAGAGAGTGCTCACGGTGGAGGAGGAGGTGGCGCTCAAGAGCAACTTCAAGGCGTTGCCGGATGGCTCCTGGATCATCGTGGGAACCACTCCACTTCCCCAGTTGGACGAGGAGATGGCTAAGCTTGGAGGTCTCCTGGCTGGCTTGGTAGCCATGGCCGTTTCAGCGAAGTACAAGCTGTCCACCTGGAATTCTGAACTAATTGAGTTTAGTTTGGAATCTGCAAACAGCTTTGGAGATGATTACCAGAACTACGAATACATACTGGACTGCCTATTGGCCAAGAAGCTACCAGATATTTCCATCGGCGAGAGCAACTTCAGCTTGGAGGTGAAGAAGGTGGTCAAGTCCTCGGTTATGGTTCCCCTACGCCAGGTCCTTGTGGATCTACTGGTGGACAATAATAGGCTGCTCCTCGTTTGCCAGCGTTTCTCCTGCGTAATCTTCAAGCGCTACAATTTTGTCTACATGTTCATTGGGTTTCCCTGCAACGCGATTGGCTATAGAAAGGGTGGATCCGGTCCAGCTTGTCTCCTGCGATTTGTGGAACTAGATGCATTGATCAAGCGCATTGAATTCGGTTGCAATTCCCAGGGTTGTTCGGTGATGAACTTCATTGTGGCTTGCGTCCAAATGGTGGATAATAATCTTCACGGACGCTTCAGACCTTGGAGAAAGGAGGATGATGATAAGGAAGTCAAGCAGGAGACGGCCAGGCAGAAGAAACTGCGCGAGCAAAGACTGGAGAAGATGCGCTATATCGACGAGGAGCTCCAAAAGGAGAGCGAGCGCATACAGATGTTCCTCAAGGCCAAACAGGAGCACATGGACCGCAAGGCTGGTATAAAACGTAAGTGCGACTATGTATGCAAAACAGTGTGCTTTGTTTTTTGTAGATCCTTGTTGAAAAGTTATTCATTACTAATGTTCCATATTTGTTTAACCTTTCAGCCGAGTACAGGGACATTGGCATCGACGAGGGCGAAGGCGAGGAGGGCGACGAGGAGGACGATATGATCGGTGAGGATGAGGGCGAAGAGGAGGGCGAGGGCGAGGAGGAGGTGGAGCTGAAGCACCGACCAGGCAAGAAGTTACCCAAGGAACTGCGCCGGGCATACAAGCCGCGTCCCATAATGTTTGGCTACAGAATGCGCGAGAAGGACTGCAACTTTAAGATCCAGGGCAGTCTGGCACTCGAGGGACGCGACGAGGGTTCATTCAAGACCATCAAGCCGTGCTACTTCGCCTCTGCCCTGGCCATCATCAGTTGCTCCTTGCGTCCCTTGAACCAATGGAACTCCTACCGCATCGATAGGGTAATCAATAATGCCAAGGCCATTTCCAAGGGTGTCTGCGAATTGGAATCAGTATTCGAACGGGTTGTCCGCCACGTTACCATTGATGATTACGAGTTTGACATCTGGATCCGTTGCTTTGAGCCGGCTGGCATGTGGACACCTTCCCCGGTGAAGAAACCTGGTACTCCGGAAGTGGGACTCATGATCTTCAAGAAGAAGTTCGGCAAGCTGTTGAACCTTCGTAAATATATGATTATCTTCACGCCCAATGGAAGCTATGCCATCTACCACGACGAGTTCTTCCACGTCTTTGATCCCTACGGCAGTATGGAGAAGCCTGGACAGGATGAGGAGCAGGAGGACGAGGGCGATGAGGAGGGAGGCAAAAAGAAAAAGAGATGCCCCAAGGGACCTAAAAGGTGGCCCGAAAGGAATACTGCCTCCTGGGTTCTCCTCTATGATGTTGATTCGCTGCTTAAGTACATCGACGAACGGAGTGCCGTGAAGAACTGGAAGGAGAAGAACCAGTACAAGTTTTTCGTGGTTGATGTCCTGTCCCACAAGAAGGCCGCTCCGAATGCCAGAATCCTTCAGCTGCTCACGGATCTCTCGATACCAATGACATGCACAAATAAGCAGTACGGCAGACCAGAATACGAGATCTGTGCCACCAATGAATCCCTCGGATGGCTAGAACTGGAGAATTGCCTGCCCGTGTGGAGCAGATTAAATCGCAGGAATACGGCGGGCAAGTATCGCAACCTGCCCATTAGCAAGATTAAGAAGTTCGACATCGAGATCGAGGGTCGCCTATGGTCCCTTTGGGGCAATCTCCATCCAGAGGCTCCTGTCTTCGAGGACGAAGTAAGGGGTCGTCAGTATCTGGGCTGCTATGTCATGGCCTGCTGTGCGGCCAGCGTTTATCGATTGATGGACTGGAGTCCACATCTCCTGGACACCATAGTGGTCAGCGGAAGCACCTACTTCAAGGAGAGCATTGACCAGATCAGCAAGGAGGACTACGAATTCTCTCTGGAGAACCTCAACATCGACTGCTCTATGGACACCATCAACTTCGTGGTGCACATAGAGCACGTGTGCTATGGGAAACTGTACCGGGTCCCTACATTCAATCGAATGAATCTATCCGAGGCCCTCATCTACTTCTTCAGCCACTATCAGTTCGGAATTGTGAGTGTGCGAAAGCGGTCACTGGCTATTGGATTCTGCCCCAGCCACGATGGCGGATACTTTATGTACGACTGCCAGGAGAAGGATCACCCCCTGTTCCCCAAGCAGCAAGGTGCTTCCTACATGCTGCGAACCCGGCATCTGCAGGTGCTCCTCTACTGCGTCGTGGTCACCCTAAATGTGCCATTCTACAACATTGACTTCAGCATCCACAAGGTGGAGATGTTGCGCGAAGGAGCCACCGTAGAGAACGAAGAGGAGGAGGGTGGCGAAGAGGCAGATGCTTGACGGGATTTTGGATGAGGATCGTTTGGTATTCCTTGGGTCGCAGCCTGAACTTTTTACTAATTGTTTGGATAAAATGTATGCGAAGCATAAATAAAATATGATGGTTTGATTAGAAATTATACAAACGCTTCACACGTGGGATTATCTAAAGCATACGTGTATACAAGTAGTGTACTTCAAGCTCGAAATTTAATACGCTCTCTAAGAACTAAGCTAAACATTTAACAACAATCGGATGACGCATCGTCGTATGATTCGATGTAGTCATTGGGTGACTCAATTTTGTGTGACCTAATGCCGCAGACGACGCTGTTCCTCGGCCTGTTTGTAGTGGTAGCCATCGGCACGGAGTTCGTGGGCGGGCTCCGGTTCCAGTTGCTCTTGGGCCTGCACATCGGATGGGGCCATGGGCTGCTGGACATCCAGAACGTACGTTGCTTGCTGCTCCTCCTGCTCGGGCAGATCCTGCAGTTGCTGGGGCTGCTGTTCTAGGGGCTCTTCGTGCATCTGGATCTGCTGCATCTGATCCTGGTATTGCTGGTAGGTCAGCTGCTGATCAGAAGCTGGTGCTGGAGGCAGGTAACGATGCGCGAGCTCTGGCTGTTGCTGGAACTTCTCCATGACGGCTTCCTGAGGTGCCATCACTTCCATCTGGGGCATCATTATGGGTTCAACGGTCATCTGAACTGGAACTGGAACGGCAACGGGTGCGGGTGCAGGTGCAGGTGGCAGGTAGCGAGAGGCGGGCATGTCTTCCTGCTGATGCACTGCAGCGGGCGGAGTGAGAAGACTGCTGGGCATGGGCTCCATCTGACCCTGCTCATTTAGACGCATGTACTCCACTTGCTCGGGCAGCTCTCGCAGCTCCTGTTGCTCGATGCTCATGGACACAGCGTGTTCCGGACTGGGCGGCGGAAGGTAGCTGCTGCTGGGCTGTAAGTGGGACACATCGGCTGCGGCCAGGCAGGCGCACAAAGCGAGAGTCAGGACGAAGGTTTTCTGAGAAGGAAGGAGTTTCTGAAGTATTTAAAATTTGGAATTTACATTTAATACATTACAAAGATAATGTATAAATTATCTTTATTAATTATTTATATAATTTTTAATTAATTATCTTTGTATTAATTATTTAAATAAATAAATAATGATAAATTTAAGGTTCCAAATTAACCACCTATCCGCATTATTTGTACAGTAGATATTAATTATATATAGTGTTATTTCATATGCTCTGTTATCCTCTTATGGAGCTATGGAGTTTGAAAATCCTTGCCGAATGCTTACCATCTTGTCGGATGTATGGCTGTGGAGCGTATGATGTCGGAACAGATCGAAGTTATGACATTTATATGGGCACAGCTTCAGTGGAGACCTTCGCTCGGGACAGCCAATAATTTAAGGTAGTGGGTTTCGAGGCGAGTTCCGTTATTTGATTTGCCGTCGGCTTCGGGCTTTGATTTTCTTTAGTTTTGTCGCATCTCAACAAACAATTTGACAAACAAACATTCGAATGGCTAAATATCCAAGTATTCCAGCTGATTCACCACCACTGGCCGCCAAGCAAACCATAGCAATTCGATCCCATCCGATTCAAGTCAAGCATCAATTGGATTCAGTTTAAGACACTTTCGGCTATTTTCGTACCCTTGCAGAGGGTAATGTGATTATAGGTGGACACGAGGAAGCGATTCTATCTAAATAAATATTCGACAGCACGTACATGAATAGTTTATGTAAACACAATAAATCTGCTCTAGTAACAGTACAATTACCTGGAAAAAAGACTTTATTTTTATTTGCTAATTATGTATAATTATCATTGACACCTTATAAAGTAAAAATACATTTCGCAAAATTAAATTACATTTAAAACAATGAAATATATTTTAAATATGTATTATATAATAAAAATGATTGTATTAATTATTATTACTAATATTGAATCCATAATATATAGAATTGTGCCACTCATAAAACTTCATATTTCCTAAAGATTAATTTACAACTTAAAATAGAGCATTCAAACGTCACCATGCCAAAACACCTTGTGCTCCATTTTAGCTTTTCCCCTCTCTTTATTTCTGTCCTCACCTGCTGACAGGTGCCACTTGACGGGGCGTTTGACAATCTCAATTGGGCTCGAGAGCTCCGGCTCGAGGCGTATAAACTGGAGTACGACGGTTGGTCTGGGAATCCAAGGTTCCCCGAATTCGCTTTCCACTCTGCGAGTTTTGCACGTACCCTCCTGACCTTCTTCTTCAGATTTCACGGTCAATGGATAGATTGTCCAGCCCCGGGCGAAGATGTTTGCGCATCTCCAAAGGGGCCGGACCGGAAAAGCAAACATAGGAACTGGAGTTTAATAGGTTGATCCCTTTTAAAATTAAATTTAGGTAAATAGGAGTTAGGAAAAGCTCAAGTATAGTCATTAATATTATTACAATTAGTTTTTATTTGGCATATTTTTTGAACCAATGCTTTTCTTATTAATCATTTGGCAGCTTAAACCAATTTTTATTTTGTGGTTTACATTTTCTTATGTTTTATATTATAGATATGGATATTATAGATAGATTGTCCAACCCCGGGCGAAGATGTTTGCGCATCTTCAAAGGGGCCGGACCGGAAAAGCAAACATAGGAACTTAATAGGTTGTTCCCTTTTAGAACTAGGTAAATTGACTATACAAATTCTTACTTATTTCAGGAGTTAGGAAGAGCTCATTAATATTATTACAATTAGTTTTTATCTTGGCATATTTTTTGAACTAATGCTTTTCTTATTGATCATTTGGCAACTTTAACCAATTTTTATTTGTGGTTTACATTTTCTTATGTTTTATACTCGTAGATCGTTTCCAATCCAGTTGTCAGGTTTTCTAAACTCCAACTGGATTTGTATACAAATTTTTATTTTCACACTGTTTACATTCCCATTTATGGGAACGGAACCAAAAACTTGAAGCAATTTTTATATATTTCGGTAGCGCTTTTATAAATTTTCTTGTAAGCCTCATAGAGCTAAGACATAAATGTACGAGTGCATTCGTTGTGGTCATCGAAGGAACAGTTTGAGTCCTCGGATTGGCGACAAATTCAAGTTCGGCAGAGAGGATTACGTTGAGGGTGCTTCCAGCTGGTGTAACTTGTGCAGCGAGTTGACCTTCTTTATAAAGCGCAACATTGACCGTAATTCAGTTACTCTACTTTACCGCAATACTCTGGATTTGATTGAGTCGGCATCAACTTCTCGCAAAAGTTTGGATATTCGGAACTCGCAGGACGCAAGTATGGCTAAGCAGCAGCAAAATTGGGCCGTGGAGGCCGTGGATCCTCCGAAAAACGGGGCATCCTACACTGTACTGCCCAACAGGCGTGGATATGTGAATCGGAATCTTCAGATCCCACTTGATAGTGGTGGCCCGCCACCCATTACACCACTTAACGTGTCCTTAAATTATAGTACTCGACCCCAGACTGATAACAGGATCCGACGCAACTCAATCCCAGTAAAAAAGACAAAAGTACCTGAAATGCAGCCGCGAAATGCAAGATCTCCAAAGGTTAAAGGCATTGAACTCTTACGATCTACCCCACCCAAGCATCTGAGTCCAGAATTACCCCTAACTCCGGAACGTCGCTTGCCGCCCGTTAATCCGTACAAGATGACCCAGAGGCATCGCGATGACCAACTTCAAAAATCAGGCACATCAAACAAGAAAGGGGAAGGTTCAGAACTGTATATGGCATCTTCTGGTCCGAGTTTTACGCTCAAGGATATCGAGAAGCTGCAGCGACGCTTTGCTGCCGATGACTCCGAGCCGGGAACTTCCAGGCAAGGCAGTCATGTTGAAAGCATCCCCAGGAGTCACGGGAATGCTTTAAATTCCAGCCACATTATGTCCCAAAAAAAACTTACCGAGAAACGGCGACAAATGAGGAAGTTGGCCCTAATGCGATCGAGGCTGAAGCTTAAATATCAGATGACTCAAACGGAACTGGACGACATGGAGCAGAGGATTCATCGGTCGCCAAGAGGACGAAGTAAGCGACAGAGCGGTGGAGCCCATATATCATTATCACGACTAGCGTTGAAAATCGGTAAACCAGTAGAAGAAAGCCGGAAGTTGCCCAAGGAGGAAAATCATGAAACCCTACTGAAAGCTCTAGGCGAAGATAATGTACCCTTTATGAACGAAAATAACTTGGTCAAAGATCAGAAATCGCTGGAAAGTCTGAACCCATTGGATACACCTCTGGCCACGGAAACGGAAACGGAAAATGTTACTGAAACCGTTCCCAATAGCGATTTGGGTTCGGAAATGGAAATACCTTTAGATAACACCTCATCGACGACTTGTGAATCTGTGAGGACGAACACTATTTATATACCCTTGCCCTGCCAGCTGAGAAACCCCTTTGCGTCCCCCGCCAAAGTGGGCTACTACATGCCCACTGCCTATCATCCCAAGGATAATTTCAAGCAATCGCAGCCTGCGGTCCCGTCTCCCAGGCTGTGCACCCTGGTGTCCTCGGCACAACGGGCACTCTTCGCGCGCTTCGTTAACGATCCCTTGGATATAGTAAAGCTCATCCGAAGTATGGACGAATCGACGGAAGTCACCCTGAACGCGCCCAGAGCTCAGTTCTCCACCATAGCTTGTGCGGAGACGGATCTGCTGTGCCTGATTGAGAAGAAACCCCATGTGACCAGTATTGAAAGAGCCAAGGAACTGGATGTTTCCCGATCACCAGTCCGTTGTCCCGATTACGACTGCCAGCGGCTGTGTTTTGTCTCGGATTTTAATACCCATATTTTGCTTGATCATCGATCCTTAACCATGGAGCGGATTAAGACGAGGCATACCAAGACCTTCTTCTTGGACACCAACATGACGATGCTGGACAAGGCCAAGTGTCACATGGTTTATATGGTGCGGGATAAGATTATCGACACCCAGGCCGAGGATATGAACGATCTGTTGCCCGTGATGGTGATGAGTGGCCGCACCCACATATCCAAGTCTTTCGGTTATGCGGAACATTGGGCTACCGGAGACCGTGGTCGGCAAAAGCCCACTTCCGATATAGAGATCTTTGTTCTCTGGCTGACCGGATTTATACCACGTGATGTGCAACCACTGGCTACCGTTTCGCTGTGGTCCACTCTGGGTCCCAAGATGGCCGATTGCGTTGGCGCTAACACTGGTTATATCTACGATATCCGAGCGCCCAGCGATGTGGCGCGAATCGTCCGCAGTCGGTGTTCCATGATCCTGCCCATGAGCATGATCATGAAAATGACCAACAATGCGCGCAGATTCCTGGCCATTCAGGTGCAGGTTTATTAAATTTTCCAGTACTGATGAAATAGATTTTTTAACATACAACAATTGATTTAGATACTTTTAATGGTTTAATACTGTTTTTTAAACTGTATCTCGTGACTATGTTAGATAATTCTATACATAGAAATTGAAAATGTCTTCAAAACAATGCATACTTCTAGGCTTTGCGTTGCGTCTCCTCATACAGTCGGAAAATTAGTTGCCTACTCTTTTGATTTTTTTATAACAAGATAATGAAGTGTTTTATTGACAACTAAATTTGACCTGCTTAAAGTATTTCAGTTCCCATTGCGGGTTTGTTACTTAAGACTAACAGAAGTTTTATCATAAAAGTACTGGGGAGAATTATAATAGATTATGATTATAAACTATATATTATAAATCTGTGACATCTTATCTCTGAAATTTTACTTTTTCTAATTATTGTAGTACTTTAATAATGATATTCCGTTCAATATTGAAACAATGGAGAGCAACGCTTGATCTGGTAGAAGTCGAATGGTTATGCTGTCAAGAAGATACTTTCTTGGTGGCAGCTTTGCTGTTAAGTCCTTCACTTCTTCCAGTTTACAGCACTACCAGGTAGGCTCATTTTAAAGGACGATTTCAAACATTCTTCAACTTCACGACAAGGACCAGGACCTTGGGTTCCCCCACCGTCCACGTTTGTCATTGTAATCACCACCATCAACGTCTAACGCAGCACCCATTGATTTCAACTTACTGTCCATCTTTTTGCTGGATGTTTCCATCCCAACCGATGTTTCCATGTGGGCGCTCGCTATCTGCCTGTCATAAATAGAGGTAGATGCCACCTCTACTGTTATCAGATGCCCTGGAAGGTGGATGCGCTGACCAATCCGCATGTGTGTTTCCGTGGCAAGTCTAAGAAATAACCAAAGCCCCTTCAGAGCCCCTTGTTAATCCACAGTTGGTTGGGTAATATCGGAATAAGTGTACGAGTATAAGACCTGAACCAGTTCTCTAAAAGCAGTTCTCTACAGTTCCAAGTACACGCATAAATAGTTTGTTATATCTCGAATTTATAGCCCGAATGGAGTTCGAATTTATTGAATTTATTTTACTGAATTTATTGTTAAGGCTGCTGTCAGACGTGGGTATATCTCCAGCCTGTCCAGATGGATGAGCTCTAGATTGGCTCGTGCTGCGTCCAGCTATATCAGCATACGATATGAAGGCTTGGAGACGTTGAGTTAGGCTTAGTTTTTCAGTTTTCTCTGTCTGACAGGGCAGTATTTGTCTTTCGAGGCATGATCACCACCACAATTAACACACCGGCATTTATCGCTTGTGCAGAAAGCAGACTCTGTCATGTGGGGCCACTATATATGCCACAAATGATGCCTGGGACGCATTCTTAGAGTGTTTGGCACCATTTGTAGCATTGACATTGTAGCAACTCTTTTCTATGTGTAGCATGATCAACGGTGATTCTGAAACATTCGAGCCTGGTTTTAGATCAATACTAAACAAATTTGGTATGGTATTAAAATGTATTATTGCTCTGTTATTATGCTCGCTAACCTAAATGTTTTCCCAGTCAACCTTTTTGGGGCAATTAATGTTAAGGACCTCATAGTGTTGATCACTAAATGCTTGTTCTATCTGTGAACTAGAAAAATTAGCATGGATTCCCTTAATCACTACCCTGAAGGGGTTTCTTTTTTAAGTTGATGATGCGAGAATTGGATATTAACTTAACTCACCGCAGAGCGGTGACCAATAAAATAGTGATGGCCTTACAAGTTTTTCGCGGTTTTACGCTCAGATTCAGACCAAAATTTTGGGATAGTTGCCGCTTTGAGTCACAGAATAGAAGGTTTTCTTTGGCCACGTGTCAGTTGTGTATCGGAAGCCCCATTTTTAAGTTTGCTCTCAAGGTTATTCCTTGCTTTTTCTGTCTGTTATAGCACAAGGCAAACCAATATCCCCCTTTTACTTGGCAAAAGATATTTTACTTTTTATGTGTCAACTCCTTATTCAGTTATAAGAAACCAAAAATTTAGACTTATAAAAATTACCTCGTCCCTAAATTGTCTTTTCAAAGAGGAAATTCTCTTTCTTTCGCTTCAATCCCGAGACCAGTGGGAAGTCAACCATGTCATCTCAGTTTCGTGAGAAGCGCGGAATAGCTAGCAGTGCCCACAATGAACTGCCCACCATGGATCCCACCGAAAGTGACTTTGCTCTGGAGCTGAAGTCAGCACCCAAGCAGACCTGCATTCCGGAGCACCAACGCCAGAGATTGGCCAGCTCGGACACGAGGTGAGCAAATTTCTTCGCAAATGAAACATATCCTCGTCAAATCCTTGTTATATGTTAGAGAATATCGATGGAGGCATAAAACATGACAAACTTAAGCAAAGGAATAGAATGTGTAGCAAATTCGAAGTATGTAACACGTAGAAGGAAGCTCTTCGACCCTATATATAATATATAGGGTATATATATTATATATACCCTATGTATAATCTTAATCGGGATCACTAGCTGCGGCATGCAGGTTCTAGAGGTGTACTTCAGACCAGGCAATCAAAAAATGTTATGATCTTTTTACTACTTTTTATTTATGTTGCCAATTCTAATAGTTTGGCCAAAAAAAATAATTATTTTTCTTGACAACTAAATTTTGAAATATCTTCCCTGCGTCCCACTAGCTCAGTTAACTGATAAATTGCCCGCTTACATGAAAAATTTAAAACAAATTGTAAAATTTTATAACTCTCTCTACCTTTCTAGCGTCTACCAGCGTGAAAGCGTTTTTGATATGCCGGACAAGTCCTGGTCAGTCCTGTACTTTGGTTCCGGCAAGGACAAAACCTCGAATTAACCGTAATAGGAAGGCGTACCTATTATGTATAAGACCGCTGTTTTCCATCCCAACATTCCGGTTTGGCATCACTCTAATTCGAATGTCTGCAACCGCCTGGCCCACTGATTGACTCCCTCGCCACCACAATCCATCCACCAGTCATCCATCAGATGTCGCGAAATGTTATAAAAATTGAAATTCGCCCTCGTGCCAGTGCATATTTTATCTTTTTGTGTGGGTTTTCTTTGGGATGGCTGCAATTGATGATCGTGTTTCTGGTGATTCTGATTCGTACGATTGTGATTAATGGACACGGCGTCATTCAGCGCGATCTGCGGCGCTCCAGACATACCATAGTACTGCGGTATTTGCACAAAGATCGCATAACGTTCCATGATATCATTCGTGCTGGCCGACACATTGAGCCAAGATTGCTCTTGAGAAGTGTCAAACGAGCATTTCTATCAAAAGCGGAAATAATGGCTTAATGAGACGAATGACGCGATACTGACACATCTGACAGTTTTTAAATTTTAGGAAATGGGTATCTAATTTTTGAAATGGATGCCCAATTTATGCAATCGTGTCATAGTTTTGTTATGATGAATTCTTGAATGGTCTATAAATAATCGATCATAGGGTTGGCTTTAAGAAGGCATAATAAACACTTTTTAGGGGAACTACCATTTTGAACTATTCATATTACTATTCTTTTGAAAGAACAGTCTAGTCGTAAGAATAAACTGAAATTTGAGAGTAGAAGTTGATCAACCCCTTGGCCACATTCTTAATTTAAATGTAAAATACTTTTAAGCCTTGGATTTCAAGCTCAACTGACCTTTTGTGTTTCCTCCTCCATTAATTTACGGTCTGTCTGCGTTTGAAAATAGCTCCGAAAATAGCTTTCTTCTACGCGTGCCAAAATCTGTTTGTCTGCTCGTTAGCATATCTGCATGCTGAATTTTTGGCACTGGTTGCAGCTGTCTGGATTTAAAATGGATTTAAAAATTTAGAGAAATCTTAGAGGCAACTCCAATATTTAGATAAGGATTAGAAAAAAGGATAAGGAAAGTGGGCTAGAACAACATTTGACCTCTCGCCACCAATGTATTTATGACAAGACGACGCTTCTGGGATAAAAAACTATAATTATGAAGTTTTTTAATAATATCTCTTGACCATTTAAGATACTAAAGTAGTCCGCTAATCAAAGAAATGTCTCATTTCCGATGAACATTTTTGTTTGCTTGCTGCAAACTGCAATTTATAAATGTGCTGAATATGGCAGTGACATCAGTTGGCACTCGGCTATAACCAGAACACATTAATACCACTCAAGTGAAAAGTGAGATCACCTTGGCCAATTCTATTTATTTGGCGTGTGAAAGTTCTGAACTATTAGCGGAATTTATTGCCCTATTTCCTGGGAATTCCTTCCAAATGTGCTCACACCAAGTTTTCCCTTTGTAAATGAGTATTACATACATTGCCCGTTTGCTTGCCACATTTTGGGGCGTATTTGCCACTGTTTTCTAATTGAAATGGACCAGAAAATTGCTACTCTCCGAATGTGGCATGCCGCAAACTTCAAAGTTTCCGTTTCCTTTGGCCGCCTCTGATTGATGCTTATGATTGATGGCGTCGCACTCGACTTGCGTTTATTTTTGTCTCTCCTTTTCTTTCATCAATTTTATACAATTGAACTTTGTCGTGTGTCCCCAAGGAATTCTGGCCATACATTATGCCTAGTTTGCTTAAAATTTACGGGCAAGCAGCTCAAAGTCCAAACAGCCAAGTCGCCTGTGTTTTCATTTCCCGTTTTTGTTTGTTTGCTTTTTTGAACGTCTCATGTTTTTCTTTCTTCATATGTGGTAAAATCTCACATTTCCATAAGGCAACACGCGCATAAGCATAAAATTGTATGTACGTACTCAAGAATGGGCGGAGCAATCGAAGCAGCGACAACTGCCCTTGCAACTTGCAACAATCTGAGCGGTAAGCATACGTTTTTTAACTTTAACTTTAGCTCAGACTTTATTTTTAATTTCAGTTTTGAAACTCATTCAGCCTGTAAAAGGCCATGCGCTTTGCTTTTCGAATTATCCAGCAATTTCAAATTGACTTACATTTTTATTAAATCTTCAGTATTGAACAGGGTTTTTTCCAGTGTAGTTTGATGGGGTAAGCAGGGTGAGTTGTGTGCAGGCAGTTTCTTTGCTCCGGCCAAATTTCGCTTTACTTGTTGTGGCTGTAAGTGCAGCCGCCTTCGAGGGGCCAAGGGGGGTGGTGGGCTGTGGGCGGTGGGTGGTGAATGGAATACTGGTATCTGTCATTGACATGGATGGTCGTCGTGCTTCGTGCCTGCAGCTCAATGCAGCTATGCGTTTTGCATAATTTTAAAGCCTCTTTAAAGCGAAATGCAATTACGGGTTGCGATTTTGTGACCGAAACTATTTTGCGATCTCCTCCGCGTTTTCCTATTTCTTTTTTGGAACAAATTGAATTTCACTCTTCGCTGCACATCGGTGGGCAATAGCCAGGGTTTTCATTTCCCATGCGTCGTATACGTGCAAGCCGCAAACAATTTTGATCAATTTCTATGCAATTACTTTCTGCCAATTAAAGGGAAATTGATTAATTAGCCTTAGCCAGTGTGGATGAAATATGCTTAATCAATTATTGATGATGCAGGGAAAAAGGTTTATGGCTTTGTCAATTATTCACAAATTAAGTTCCCAGTGAGTGCCAAAACTAATATGCTTAACGCAATTTTCACATTACTCATAGCTGAGAAAAACGTACAAGTAATTTAGGTAGCGGATGACGATTATTCACATCGATAAAAGTGGCTGAGATGATTCAGAGGCATTTGCATACTTAGTAAGGTTGAGTCAAAGAATTTGCAAAAGAAAAAAAATTGATTGTAACTTGCTTCTTTTTGAACTATTTTGTGCATTCAAATATCGCTAATGACGCACCCCAATTGAACTTGAACTTGATGTTAAGTGACAGTAATTGAAATGTCTTCATCTCGCTTCAAAAATTTGGCTCAATTCATGCTAAAATTCTTGGTGTGCGCATAAGTGAATAATTCAAATAGCTTTAATTAACCGTTGTGAGGTTAAATTTATTCTAAGGACAATTTATCACAGGTTGCATAACTTCTCAAATATTTATGAATATTCATAAAAGCCGAAATAAAACTGTGTTGTGCTATGGCATGTGATTGCCCTCTCAGTGTGAATATATTGAAAATCGATTAGTTCAAAGTGAGCAGGAAAACCAACAATATGAAAACGCCAGACAATGTGGCTCTTGGAACTGGTGGCCATGCATAAATCTTGAGCTGCTGGCTTTGGGACAATTGTACTGAGAAAAATATAAAATTTTAATGCATATTTACATTGGGATAAAACATTACGTATAGTTTGTCAGAATCATAACCATATCCTGCATAAGAACTAAGATTGTTCCCGTAATATATAAAAATTTTATTATAAATTAGTTGGAAATTAAAGATTTAAAAATTATAAATAAATAAATTATTTAATTGAGTAATTGATATTTGCAAGTGTGCTTATTACTTACAATCGAGTCATAAAAATACAAAAAAGGAACCTTTTCGTTTAGAGTAGCTCAAAAAGTAACATACCCTAAATTCATACATAAGTATGTATCAGATAATGTAACAATATCGATAGCTTTTTATGTTTTAAATGTTTTTTTTTTGTCTTTTTAATTTTTTGTCGAACTCCTGCCAGCTGAGTAACGGGTATCTGATAGTCCAGGCATTCGGAGAGATCTTTCTTACTCTCTTATAACGATATATTATAGGAAGTGATCTAGTTGATGCGCATCATGTCCGGATTTTGTTTTTCTCGGTGCTTGGTAATTATCAATGACATAGTTTGCCGCCGCCCGGGGACAGGTTGCAGTGGGCTCCGATTGCTGGCCACCGGTCACCAGTAACCAGTAAGCATTGACCACCATCTCCATCTCCATCGGCAGCTGTCCAGCAAGTTGTCTTCAATTAGCGCCAATCGCGGCACAACAACGAAAAGCAATTAAGTCACGCAGCGCTCACCAACTTGGGTGTTCTTCTGCTGCCCCTTATCAAATATTTTTGAATTGAAAACTTATTACTGAAAGTATCCCAAGCTTGGTTATCTGTCGCGAGAGTTATGTTACAAAGAGATTTGCATAATTGAAAACACGTTAGTCGGGTTTAAGGTATTCTTTGCACAGAGCTTTACTCACCGAATTACTGGATGATTCAGAGTTGTAACCTTCAATTGTTCATGGAACCACTATATAAGCTCTATCTATATAAAGACAGTAAAATATTATTGAAAACGTCTGCGTTTACTGAGCAATTTTCTTCGAGCAAGTGCAAGCTTGCATATTTTCGAGTTTAGGATTCAGCATGTTTATTCGCATTTTATGATCGTTTGTTTGCTCGATTCAAATTTTTCGCATTGGGGTCTCGCTGGTGCGGTTCCAAAATGTGTCGATCGTTCTGGACCAAATTGTTGTTCTTATTAGTGGAGCATACCCAGACGCAAATCCCCGGGCACCAACACATGTTGCGCTGCCAGTCTTATTTCAAGATTATAAATATATACATAAGTATTTGTATATAACCAAAATGTGCGAAAATCTAAGACATTTTCTACATCTGGCATGTGTAAAGTTCAGGAAACTGCGTGGCCTACGCTGAAACTATATGTCTGGGTTAATTGGCTTGGAACTTGACGAAAGGTTTAGCGAAACCACTTTTATAATAGCTGCCTTCAAAGGCAAGGACTTCAAAGTAGAAGCATATGTTGTCCGTCGTTTATAACCAATAATACTTCTATATAGTGTTTCACAACATATTCGATGTCGATACAACTTTAAAAGCGTATCGTGGTTTTGAAAAAATGATTGAAATAAAATTGATTATACAGGAAATTCTTCTCAAAGGAATAATTTCTCATTTCCCAATTTTATTATTTACACAGGAAATGCTTTCTTAATCGGATCATTTCCTCTTACTATAAGGCACTACAATGGCTGGTTTGTTTTACAATACTCACCGTCTCTACTTTTATCACTATTTTTAGATTACTTTTTCCGTTTCAAACACACTGATGACCCTTCTTTGGGTCAATGTCACGCCAGAAAGATTCTCCACATTCATATATGTTTGTTCAGGGGCTCACCCCCTTGGGGCAGCTGAGAAAATC